TGGGGAGGGGCCCTTCCTGAGCCCCCCAGGCCGGCCCCGTCCCCATGGCGGGCCTGGGTGTGGGGGCATCATTGCGAGGGGTGAGGGGAGGAGCAGAGCTCAAGTGTGCAGAGTGTGTGAAAGGAGGCGCATGGACCTCGGCCACCTGCTCTGCCCTGTGGGTCCTCTGTCCTCTCCTGGCCTGGCTCGTGTTGGGGGAAGGGGGGAGGAGAGGGGAGGCAGAGGGGCTGGGAGCATGCAGCACCCCCCGCGGGTCCTGGGGAGGGACAGACAGTAGCTGGTGACCAAGATGGCGGGCGAGGGTGTGACGGAAGGGGAGTGTGCGCCGCGGTGGGAGGGCGGGCGGTTACTGCAGGCCCTCGGCCGAGGGGCCTGCCTCGCCCTCGTGGCCGGCCGTCTTGAAGCCGTGCTCCACGCCCATCATGTCTGGCTCTATCTTGCCCGTCTCGCTGATGAAGGCGGTGTAGGCGTCGCCCTCCGCCTTGAGCACCTTGAGCTTGGGCATCCAGCTCTTGCGCATGGCGCGGCGCGCGTTGGTGCACATGTCGCCCGCGATGGCGTTCATCTCGCCCTCCTTGAAGTTGGAGGCGAAGTTCTGGCAGTAGTACTTGACTGCGTGGAGCACGCGACTGTCCAGCGGCTTGCGGCTGGGGTTGTTGCTGGAAGAGCGCATGCCCGTGCCGCAGCTGTTGGCCAGTGTGTTCCGGTCAAAGGAGGAGGCCAGGAGCCGCCGCAGCAGGACCTTGTGCCGCGCGCCCGCGCTGACGTGGCGGTTCATGAGCTGCGCCCGTGTGATGTACACGTTGGTGCCTGTCACCAGCTCCAGCTTCTCGGAGGGGTCCGCCTCATCGTAGAGCTTGGGGTGACAGCGGCTGCCGATCTGGTTGATGAGCTCAGTGGGGAGAGATGCCAGGTCCTGCCGCACCTGGATCCGATTCCGGGACTCGGGGGCCACCTGCTCGGGCAGGGCCTCCACCTTCTCGGCTGTCTGGCCGACATTCATCGTGCTGTACATGGTGTACATGTTGCAGATCTGCCGGTACTGCTCGTCTGTCCCCTCCTAGCCCCCCCGTCCTCCTCCTCGTCCTCCTCGTTGTGGTAGGGACCAGGGCTGTCGCTGGTGTAGGCGCTCGAGGTGCCCAGGCTGGTCCGCTCGGATGTGCTGGGCCCGCTGACCACGGCCCCCGCTGCTCCGCTGGCCGGCTGCCCAGCCCCGGCCCCTGCTGCTGCTGCCGCCACCGCGGCTGCCACCCCAGCAGGCTGGGCCGCTGCCACCACTGGGGCCTGCTGGTGCGGCTGGTTGGCGGCCAGGTCCGGCGTGGAGAACTTGGCCATTTTGCGGCTGCCGTTGCCGCTGCCCCCGGCCGACTTCTGGCCGCTGTCCCACAGCCGCTTGGCCACAGGCGTGCACTGCACAGAGTCCGACTCCTGCTGCTCCGTCTTGACCCGAGACACGAGGGGCAGCGGGGTGCCGCAGGCTGGCCAGCCTGACGTCTGCGCCACGGGGCTCTGGGGCTCGGACCACGGCCTCCTCGGTGGGCAGGCCCTGGGAGTCGCAGCTCGGGGAGCTCACCTTGAGGAAGAACTCGGTGCCCTTCTCCATGATCTCCTGGATCTGCAGGAAGCCGGCCGTGTACATGAGCAGGAACTGGTCGCCCACGTTCATGCTCAGCCGGCCCGGGTAGCAGAAGTTGAGGATCTGCTGGAAGGACTGCGGCTGTATTTGTTATTTTTTTTAGAATTTTGCATCTATCATCATTTGTGAAATTGACCTGAAATTTTTGTTTCTTAAAATGCTCTTGTCACATGTTGATGTCTGGCTTCAAAAAACAAGTTAGGGAAAAGTTTTCTCATTTTATATTTCCTAGAAGAGTTTAAAACTAATTTGCATTATGTCTTCCCTAAATGATTGGAAAACTTTGCTAGTAAAGCCATTTGGGCCTGAAGTTTGCTTTGAACCACAAATTTAAAATTTCTTAATTTCCAACATATGGTGATTTTATAATTATCTTATTATCTCAATTGCCTTGTGGTTTGAGAATAATATAATGTATATGATTTAAATCTTAGAAATTTGTAGAGATTTGCTGCAAGTATGTAGTCAGCATGTAGTGATTTTGTGTGAAATGCCAGTATGTCCTTGAAAAGAATGGGTATTCTGTGGTTGTTAAGGGCAGTCTTCTCCATATATCAATTCAGTCAAGTGTTTTAATTGTATTGTTCAAATCTTCCAAATATTTAGAGGTTGTTTTGTCTGATTGGTTTATCATTTACTGAAAGAGATGCATCCACATGTCTCACTATGATCTAAATTCGTCTATTTCTTTTCTTAGTTATATCATTCTTTGCTTTATATATTTTGAGGTTATGTAATTATTTGCATACAAATTTAGATTTTTATATCTTCCTGGTTAACTAAAACTTTTATCATTATGAAGTGTTCCACCTTGTCTGAAATTGATAGCCACACCATCATTCTTTTATTAGTGTTTTCATAGTGTATATTTTCCCATCTTTTTTCTTTCAAGCTTTCAGCATACTTATCTCTTCTAAATACATGTGCCTTATAAGCAGCAAAGAATTTTTTTTAAAAAAATCTAGTCTGTCAATCTGTCTTTTGAGAGCATTTAATCCATCTATTAATACATTCAATGCAATTATTAATGTAATTTACCATCTTGATGTTTTCTATTTGTTCCATTTTTCTTTTTGTTTTATTGGCTTCTTTCAGATCAGTATTTTTAAATTATTTTGTTTCCTATTATCTTTGTAGTTACATTTTTTTTTTACTATTCCTTTATTGACTACCTTAGAAGATTACAACATGCATTCTTATCAAATCCATCAGTTATGAATTTATTACTTCTCGGCTCCAAATCCACTTTTCATTGCCTGTTATGCAAAAATAACTATTTCTCCTTTGCTAGCTGTTGTGAAGCTAAGCCATGTGATGTAGAGGGTGCTGGAGAGGCATCAGAGGAAGGAGGAGTTTCTCCTCCTGGTTCCGGTACCACCCTCCTGCCGTGCTCCAGGAGAACAGGGAGGTGAGTGGCAGTGCCCAGCAGCCAGCAGCTTCCCTGGCTCCCTTCAGGGCAACTTCACACTGGGATTGTGTAGCCCATGAGGCATCACCTCCCAGTGAATGGCTTTCTCAGCACCCCAGTAAAGGGCTTTGAGCAAATTTTGAGGCATTCAGCTTCTTGGCCTTTTCTGGAATTGGCCGATGCCTATGGAGAAAAATTGGTCCCTAATGCCAAGATTACCTTTATGGATTTCCTTCCTCTTCTGATCTTGGTAGCAGGGGAGGTGGTGGAAAGTGGTCAGACTCTGGGTATATTATTTTGAAAGTGGAGGTGACAGGATTTGCTGACGGAGTAGATGTGAGAGCAAAGTACAAAGGATGATTTCATAGTTTTTTATTAGAATGGAAGTGAGACATCAGACAAGGGAGAGAGAGAGAGAGAGAGAGAAAGTGATGTGGGGTATACCCAAGGAGAAGAGTAGTAAGGGAAGTGATGATATAAGGTACTGTTATTGGGTCAATGGCTTGGAGGTCCTGGTGATATCAAGGAATTGTTGGAGTTAGGATATCAGAAAGAGAGAACTAAAAAAAGTAGCATGAAAATATAGACAGACTTGGGGAAGAGGAAACAAATTCTTGTTTTAAAATAATCTTTTATTTGCTTGTCTTAGGCATTTTAACATACATTATTTTGATATACATTACATTTATTTTCATTAACTGAATAATTTACTATATAATGTAAAGCACAAAATATAATTTTGAATTCTAAACATTGCATAATGTATGAGGTATGAATAATCAAAATAGTCAAACATTATTGATGTTCATCATAATGAGAAGCAGATAATCAACATTTCTATTACCAAGTATGACTCTAGAGATTGGGGAGATAAATCCACCACTGAATTTTCACACCTTTGGAATTAGAGGTAGGATATGTAATCAAAAAATAGATTTTGATATTCAAATCTGTACTGTGTGTTTTTGTTGGAAACATCAACACATAAAACAGAAAACTAGTTAATGGTCATGTTTTCCGAGAAAAAAATGTGTGTCTGAACAATCATTTGAATATCACAAAAACACTGCAGACATTAGCAGAAGCAGGCAAATTAGTTGCCTATTTTAACCATTGAAATGATGTTTTTAAATGTTCAGAAGAGGGGTTCCTAATTTTTTCAAGATATTGATCTTTATTGTTGATTTGTCTATTAACTTGAAAGATTTTTGTCGACAAAACTTATTTGATTAGTGTTCACATCTTGCATTGATCAAATATCTACATAATAGTTAGCAATTATAAGTAAACACATTCTAAAATGTGATATTAAATGAATCAGAATTAATCTAAATTATTTCAGTCCCATTGACCCTTTAGGGCAGCCTCTGAATTCTTTGTTTTAGTAAATACATGATTTCAACAGAGCCTTTTGAAAAATTGAAAATAACTTATGAAACCTTCTTATTCAAGTGTCTTTCTGGGCCTTATTTGGAGAATCAATCTATTAAAGAATAGAATGTCTGTTTTTACATTCTTCTTTTTAAATTTCGTCTTAATTTTTTCTCCTTCCCATTTTTCTCTTCTAGGTCCTCACTGATCTATTTCTCTTCTTCCATCCTCTAACTAACCTAAAATCTGCTCCCTGTCCCCTTTCCTTATTTCTCATCGTAGCCTTGGAAGTTTTTCCTCTTCCTGTTTCTTCTGTGCTTGGATTCATATCTCCTCCTGTTGTGTTTGGTTTTCCACAGAGAATTTGTTTCTGTTGGGTTCACCGGTTCTTTTTACAGAGAATTATGGATGAAATAAGTAAAATATTTTTGAATCTGGCTATGTAGTGATCCACAAACATAAGATATATCAACATCTCACAAATGCAACATGTAGTTGTCTAAGGCTGATATCATACGCGTAGTCTCTTTGGTATATACTTCTTGTGTTCAAGATGTAACAACATTAAATTTGTTTTTTTTTTTAGTTTTATTTTGTTTTTAATTGACCAGTGAATTCTGGAACTTTTCATATTGCTTTCTATTCCTGTGAAGTAATAACAATTAAATGCTATTAATAATAAATGTTATTAATGAATAACAGTATGAATCTCATTTTGATACTTTTTCATCTTCTTATTGCATTGGGACTTTTTTTATTCTTATTCTTTATTTCAGGCTACATAGTCTATTATGCTTTGAGGTAAGAGAGAATCTAAAACTGGAATATGATTCTATTCCCAAGTTCTTACAGATTTACCAAATGGTTGTCTGTGGGTCACATCTCTCCTATTTATTCCATAAGGTTGATATGGTTAACATCTACTATTCCCTTACCATGTGCTAGTCACTCTTCCAGACATACCTTATATCCATTACATAACTCTGGGAGGTGAGTGCTATTATTATGTTCATTTTACAGATGAAAATCTGGGACACATGGAGGTTCAATAATTTGCCCAAGGTCATACAGTAGGAGACAGAGCCAGAATTTTAACTTAAGAAGTCAGATTCCAAGTCTGAGGCACTGGCCACCATACTGTATTGCCTCCTAATAAGGCAAGTTGCAAATGCACGTGTTGACCTCTTGATTCTTGTTACCTTCATCTCTGCTCCATTTCATTCACCCACTTATATAGAAGCACCTATAACCCATCTTCTTTCAGAACTCCATCTCTAAGACCTTAGACTCAGCATTCTCTTGATTTGATGCCTCCTTACCTTTCATGCCTGCTGCTTTTTCATAGCTACTGAACCTGCTGGGCATCTGCACTGAGCCCTCAGGACTCTCCTTATTCTCCCAGTTCCCATCATGCCCCTTTCCTATTTTCTGTTACTTCTCCACCTTACCAGGAGGGCTTGCCATTGCTTGAATTCACCTTGCATTTTTCTACTTTTAGTTTCACCCACTCTTTCTGTATGGAATATTCTCCCATCCCTTCCCTCTATTTTAGCTTAACTTCACTCAATCTTTAAGCTACTCCCTAAACTCCCTACCCCTTGTCTGCGTCCCAAAATACTACCTCTCTATTATGTACTTCCTGGTCATCTCAAAACATTAGATGTGTTCCTTCTCTTTTCAGCATTCCCAACACTCAATTGGTACAGCAAATATAGTGCTTATGAGAGTCTACCTTGTAATATAGTTGCATGTGAATGTCCTTAGCATCCCTCCTAGCTTATAATCATAACTTAGAAGACCTAGCCCAATGCCTTATGCTAAAGCATGGAACAAGGAACTTTATAAGGGAAAAGAATGTAAAAGATATTCTAATTCGACCTGTAATTTTTCTGGTAAAGACATTGAAGCCTATTTGAATAGGCAATCATACTGACAGTGGGAGACAGAAATTCACTTGTTCTTTCCATCCTTGAATGCACATTAGGATTAAATCATGTGTGCACTCAACACCGTGCTAAGCACTAGGGCTACCCAGGCAACAGTCTCTACTTTTAAGAAATTTGGTGTCCACTGGGGTCTACTGGGGAAGACAATTAATAGATTACTACAATACCATGTGATGAGATAGCTGTTAGAGGAATAAATAAATGGATATATAAATAAATACATGAGTCAAGGAGTTTACTATCTTTGTAGTAATATCATATGGTCCTTTTGATCACAAGCATGAGGAAACAGGTTTTGTAATTCACTTAATAAAATCACAGCTGAGGCTGTAGGAAGGCATATCAAATCTGATTTGTGCCAGACAAGCTGATCTTCATCAGTCCAAAAAAAGAGAAAGGTCTATTGAAAACAGAGAGGTGATGTTTTCTATCTTACTCTCTGGTTTTAGTCCTTTTCTATTCAGTTTTTTACACTGCTTTTTCTCACGTGTTTAGGATTAAATTCTGAACACTCAGTGACATCCTGGGATAGTTTTTGTTTTGTTTATTAATTGGCTGTATGTTCACCTCAACCAAACCAATGTTCACCTCAATCCAACCAAAGATTCGATCGACTTTGGACTGGCTGCGTGCACTGTTTGTTTTATTTACTTATTTTTAAGCTTGAATGTTCTTCCTGTAATATTAGCTTTTCTCAACCCCTGAAAAGTTGAGTTTTCTGACGGCCATGGAGCCTGCTTAATTTAGGTGCCAAAGAGAGTGTCATAGGATGTAAAGTGGGGTGTCTCCCAGGCCGACAGGACACCTTACCTGGGGAATCCCAAGCCCATTCTGCTCATTACGCATCAGGAATGACCTCCAGTTGGGTGGCGTTAGGGGGAGTTTTATTTGAAAATGATTCCAAAACCTGTAAAAGAGATAAAACAGGGAAATTCCACACCTGTCATTTTGCCAGGATCTTGTTGGAGCCTGGTACCCAGCTCTGCCTAAGAGATAACGTTTCTGTACTATTTCAGCTGTTCATGTACCTTGGAATTTTCAGGGTGTTAAATATAGATAATCTTTAAAACACGATGACTGTGTCTTATTTGTATTGTACTATGATATCCTTTGCTTTAACAAATTCTCATATATGAAAATCTAGATTTATATGCTGTATACAAAAGCATTAAGGCCTAGTATTAGTGAAAGGGCAGGTAAATACATCCTCTCATGAGTTATTTATGGGAAGGTGAATTGGTTTCCTGAAGAACGATTTGGCAGAGTGCACCCAAAGCATTGTAGGCAATGGACCCAGCGCTCTACTGCTAGGAATTTATCTTAAGGAAATCAACATGAATGTGTGTAAGACACACCTACATGATTATTTGCCTAGTCACTGTTTCAAATAGTAAAAAGTTAGAAACAACTTAAAGGCCAAAGATGGGATGCATATAGGTATATGGCATTAGGCAAGCAGGCATTACAAACGAAGTAGGAAAATAGAGTAATGTGGAAAATTACTTTGATAAACATACAGGTACAAAAGTTAGTATAGTATTATCTTATTTGTATAAAAAGTACATGGGTATGTGCTTATAAACAGAAAAAGAAAGCTTAAATAAACACCAAAGTATAAATTGTTCTTTCTGGGTGGTGGGATTATTTGTGTTTTTAATTGTTTTTTATTTTAAAATATTTTTTCAAATTTTCTACAGTGGATAAGTATTATTTTTATAACCAGAAAAATGGCTAGTAAGCTTAAAAATCCCATTTTAGGAGCAACAAAGAGGCTTGGTGCAGTGACTCACAACTATAATCCTAGTACTCTTGGAGGCTGAGGTGGCAGGATTGCTTGAGCTCAGGAGTTCAAAACCAGCCTGAGCAACTGTGAGACCCTGTCTCTACTAAAAGTACCAAAATTAGCTGGGTGTGGTGGCACATGCCTGTAGTCCCAGCTACTTGGGAGGCTGAGGCAGGAGGATCGCTTGAGTCCAGGAGTTTGAGGTTGCAGTGAGCTATTATGATGTCACTGCACTCTACGTGTGTGACAGAGTGAGATTCTGTCTCAAAAATAAATAAATAAATACATAAATAAAAATAAAAAAGAGCAACAAAGATAAAGCAGGCTGTGACTGCTTCCCAAGATTCCTTATGACATCCTTTAATGAACTTTGTAATCAAAACACAATATTTAGCATCAACACCTTAGAAGTTTCTGAGATGGAATTCTTAAGAAACAAATCTCCAGAATTTTCTCCGAAGTTGTCATATTCCTTTTTTCTCCCAGAACAAGAAGTTAGATATATGCTCTGTTGAAAATCAGCAAAACTTGAAATGAGTTACAGCTGTTAAAAAGTTTAAGTAGGCTTGCATGTCCCAATACAGAGGGATGCCTAAGATATGTTGATGAGTAAAAAATGCAAGTTGCAGAACATATGTACTAGGATTGTATTAAAAATGACAGCAACAATAATACTCCCTCCCTACCAACTATATGGGACATTTTATTGAAAACAAATATTTTTAGAGAAATGTTGATATGCCCAAAAATAGGCCTAGGAGGGCACACCCTGAGCTGTTATCAAGAGTTACCCTAAGAGTGGGTGGAAGGATGGGCAGAAAACAGATAAGCTTTCCTGGAAAGTGCCAGGTGGGGTTACCTCCTTTTTATTTTATATACTTTTATGTTCTTTAAATTTTTAAATATAATTTAAAAACATTCAAAAGGAAATAGATAAAAAATAAATTTTAATAAATGCCTGTGCTCAGGGTGTAAACTAGATAGTGTATTTTGCTTACACATTTTAAATAATTAGAATTTTAAAATTAAATTTCTGTATTTTTCAGAGGATCAGTTGTAATGATAAGAAAGAATATTCTCTCCTTCGGTGATTATTTTGCAGATATAGAAATGGCAAATTGCCATTCCTTAAATTTTAACTCAAATATTCTGAATATGATCTTAAAGGCTTACACAGTTTTGAAGTATAGGCAGGCAGAAATTCAATGGGCCATTCCCCTAAACCAACTACCCCACCAAATTCATTCTCAGAGTTGGGCACAGGTGAAAACGTGACATGGGAAATCATTGTAACTCAATGACCACATCTTTGCTACATTAATACCCCCTCCTCATTCTTGTCTTAGCAAATATACCATTTTCCTCTTATCTTTCCTTCTCCTAAATCAAAAACCATTTCCAGAAGGGATCAAGAACACATTTACATGATGTATAAATGACTCTATGTTATATCTTCCTAACCAGATTTGTTTTTTAACAAGCTAACAAAAGAATGAAGTTCTAATGGGGGAGTCTCCTACATCAGTCAAAATTTGGGAGCATAGGCATTCACTGACTCTGTTTATATATAAACACAGCACCCTCTGCATCGGCCCAGGGTGCAACAGGTGTTTTCAGACTTACAGATGATGGTATATGTCAGGATCCCGCTGGAGCCGGGTTTGGAATCCTATATACAAGTCATCCCAGAGCAGCCCATTCTTCACCACATGTCTGATGACATCAACCCGGCTACGAATCTGAAATAGATGTGGCACAACTAGCAGGGCGACCTAGACAGCACAGAGTATGGAGCCCTCCTGTCCCTGGGAGAAGCAGCTGCCCATGATGGCAGGGGCATGAAGAATCAAGGAGAGATGTCTCCTGGAGTAGACATCACAGGCTGAGGACAAAAGGAAGGAGGTTGAGTGCAGCAGAAATCAAAAAAAGGAAAACAGGAAATAGATTAAGAGGTTGGGGAGCATAGTGGCTAAGAGCACAGACTCTGGAGTCAGATTGCTGGGTTCAAATCCAGGTTCTAGCTGTGTGATCTTGGTCACACAGCTTCTGTGCCTCAGTTTCCTCATCTATAAAATGAAGATAATAACAGTAGATTCTTCAAAGGATTGTTGTGAGGATTAATGAGTCAATGGACATAAAGTACTTAAAACAAGGCCTGGCACATCATAAGCATGCATAAGTGTTTGCTATCATCATCATCCCACATGTGGAGTGTCCGAGTCTCCACCTGCACATTCGCTGCAGTCCCCTGTGTCCGGCCTGGCAGAGACCAGGATCACCTTCAGTCAGATGGCCAAGGCCCTCACCCTTACAGAACCCTCAACTTCGGACACCAAAGCTGCTGAATAGCCAAAGGAGCACAGAATTAGGGGACAGTAGAGAGGGTCTTGAGTCTCAGACCTGCACTTGCTAATTATGTGACCTTAAACTTGCCAAGCCTCATTTTCTTTACTATGGGACTGTTCTGAGAAAAAATTAACCTATATAAATAGCACAGAGGGAAGTTGTCCTAAGATTGCATGGTTTTAACAATATGTCGTTGCCAGTGTTAAAGTTTACAGGAGCTTTTTTAGTATCTGTATCCTATTTTCCCCCTGGTAAATATTATGCTAATGCGAGAAGGGGCAAACTTTCATAAATGACAGACACAGAATTAAATGACACAGTATTAAATGACACATAATGATTAGAAGGCAGGCATTTTGGGTTCATTTCGCTTTTCTGCACTGTTTCTATAAAACAATTATATCCATTGTGAACTGAGGTTATAAACAGAGATCAGAGGATCTACTCTTTTGCCAACAGAGACTTAGAAGCATGATTCCACAGTTCGGTCAGGTCATCCTGCCGTGCTAGGATGCAGCATCAGGACCCAGTGCCTCCCAGTGGAGGGTGAATGGCCTCTCTTGGCCTTCAGATTTGGAGAGGAGCACTTGGGAGAACTGGAAAGAGACTTGAGAAATATTTAGGGTGTAAAATGGAAAGGTCTTGGTGACAAATTAGATTTGGGGATGGAGAGAAAAGGAAGAGTCTCCAAAGCCCTGGCTCTTTCCTTTATATCATGCTGTTATAGGTGAGGGATTTGCTCAAAATTTGGACTCAATAAAATAGGTGTTGGTTTATATTGATTTAACTCCCTTTCCAGAGGTACCTGTTGGGTTCACTTGGGGAAGGAGACACCACTAGACAGAAGGAAAAGGCAAGCAGAACACAATGCTCACTGGTCTATCAACAGCTCAGGTTGGGCAGGTGTTTGGAAGTAAGCATGGACAAGCCAGTCTCTGGGAACAACTCAAAAAGAAGCAAGTATGGACTTTAGTCAATAACAATATTTCCATATTGGTTTGTTAGTTGTGACAATGTACCATAGTAAAGTGAGATGTTGATAATACTTTGCACTATCCTTATAACTTTTCTATAAAGTTACTCTAAAATAAAATATTTATTTAGGAAAGAAGGAAGGAAGACCTCCACCAGTGTTGCTGCTTACTTCCTCATAGGGATGTTCTCGGCGTGGTCTTTCTTTTGGAAAGGATAAATCTAGAAAGTCAACCAAATAGTCATATCCTCCAGGTAAAGGGCTGAAGTCCTCATCTGTCTCAATCATCTGTGCAAATGACATGGTTAAAGGGAAGAATATCAATCAGGTGCTCAAGGTCTTGAAAAAATTCTAAGAATGTGTAAGGCTCAAATGCCCTTAAATGAGAAAGGATAGCAATGACCTGGAAGTTAATATTAAGAGTTTCTTACTCTCTGGCTCTTGTTCTCACTATCTATCTCCTCTCTCCTGAACTGATAACATTCAAATGCTAGTCCGCATTAGCAAAACTGTTTCATTTCACTAACTTCAGATTTATAGAGAAGGTTATCATTATCTCAAGTATCATTAGTAATGAGACATCAAGCATCACCATAGGTTTGCAGGTGAGGAAACAAATCACAGGTGGAATGTTTCTCACTGTCATACAGCAGCTATATATAAATAGTTTCATTAAAAACTATTTGTCAAAAACTTCCAAAAGTTTTTCTTTTTCATACTAATTATACTGAAAATATCATTTAGACCAATGTTTCCCAGGTCTTTGGATTTCAAAGACCCTTTCCTAAAATATGCCTGGGAGCTAATATAAGTATTAATCTTTTGTTTTGCCAAGTCAGAACTTTTTTTTCTAAAAAAATCTTACATATGCTATCTTTTTATTTCATTAAAGGAAGGGTGTTTTACTGCTTCTAAAATAAAAAGGACCTAGTCATGAAATAATAATTCATCCCAAGAAAAAAGAGTTGACATTTTTGTGCCAACAAGGATACCCTTTCTCTCACTTATTTCACTATTAACAAGCAAAAACTTTGTCATAGACTATCAGTGACCCTCAGGTTTTTGTGAATCATGCTTTTGAGAATAGCAAATGTTGCCTGGCATTACTTTTCAGGAGTTGAAAGGTGAACTTGAGAATAGTTCTCACCCTGAGAATAACCAGTGGCTTGTCTCTAAGAATGTGAGCATTGTCTGTTTCCTGATGCCATCTCCAAACTTTGCTCCCCTGCACAGTCTCAGGCACTTAATATCAGCCAGGGGTGGCCCACTGCAGACCTCCTCTTTGTCTCACACCCCTATTTATTAGTACTTAATTTGCTTTTGGATATACCTCCAGCTTTGGCGACCAGGTTATGACCTGAACTCTTGGGTGTGGCTCTGTGTGTATGGGGTGGGGCTAGTTTAAGTTCTAGATCTAGGCCTACCTCTGGGTTTGTGCAACTCAGTCTTCAGCATAGCTGCGGATATTAGTGACCTGCTTCTATCTCACCTTGCTCCAGGTGAACACCTCTCTGGGTGGATCCCACCTTCTAGTCCCACAGTTTAAATAGCTGTTCCTGCCATGCCAAAACAAAAACAAAATACCCACAAACACAAACAACAAATACATGGTGACAGAAGATAAAAGATGCTCTAAAAGAAAACCTAAGCTGGACTTCAGAACATTCCCTAAATATTTATCAAAGGATTGTTGATCAGATTGTCAAATTTGTTCTCTGTTGGGCAGCTAGTAGGGCTTAATGAATGCTGCTTGAGAAACAAATTGAAAAATGAAGGGGTTTTTGTGTATTTCAATAATACAAGAAAGCAAAGATAAATAATACTTGATAGCATACCCTGACCACAAGGTTATAATCCTTAAATCCAGCCCAAGTGAAGTATTCTTTTATCCAGGATGAGTGAAGAAATATTTCATCTTCTACAGCAGCATTCAAAACTTTCAAATAAGGTTCAAAGTCCCAGGAATCCTTGTAAATTTTAGTCCCCTGTGGAGGCTCTCTGATGCCCTTGCTAAAAGACACAAAGAGAAAGCAGCAAATGATGAAGGCAAAAGTTACCACTTAAATAGCAAAAGTCAACCAGATTAGTAGCTTTGAGACTGCTCAAATGATTCCCAGGGGGGGTCCCACTGTCACCTAAACCAGAGCAGCTCCTGTTAATTGTTTAATGTGATAGGTTTCCAAGTCAGATTTCATTTGAAGAAAAAAGTCTGTGTCTGGGAGGGAAAAAAAGTTTGAAAACCACTTTTTTAGACCCTTTTGGTTCAAATAAGTAAATTATGAAAATGTTGGATATAATCTGGCCATATTGACTTTGTGGATGTCTGCACACTCCTGCCTCTCCACCCCAGTTATTAATAGAATATAAGTTTGATGAAAGTAGCAACCGTGGCTGAGCACACAGCAAGTGCTCAATAAATATTTGTTAAACATAAACTTTAGCCTATCTTTGAGATATTCTCAGAATTTTGTGTTTCTAATACACAGCACTCTTACTGCATGAATCAAGGCACAGCTGACAGAGAGATGGGCAATTTTATCTTTAAACCCAGTGAGCAATGTGGATAATGAAGGTCTCTCATAGTCCTAGAGTTCTGTCCATCCCATGTGAAGACAGATCCTTGCATGGAACATGGAATCTTGAATCCTACGAATGGAACAGGAAGTGATGTGGGTAAGAGAAACACAAGGAGGGAAACAGGCATCCACTAGTAAAGATTCAGCAGGTCATGGTATCTGTCCCTGTTCTCAAAACTATACTTTTGGTCCATTGTATTCCCAAAGTGACAGAAGCACTGGTTCCTGTAATAAATTATTTACTAAATCCTAAAGCTTCTCACTTCTAAATATATGTCAATCTTCTCCAACTCCTTGCCCCTGTCCCAGTTTAGAGCCTTGCTAATCTCTTCTTATATAAAGTCACAGCCTCCCTGACTCCAGTGGTTCTTCCTGTAGCCTCTTCCACAGTCCATTCTTCTCTGCAAAGCTCAAATGGTTTTTCTAGAACACAACTCTGTAATGTCGCTTTGCTTTGCATCTTTCTGCAGCTCCACAAGGCCTTTCTGGCCCACACCCAGCATTCCTGCTTATCCTTTTCCTCCACCTGCACTCACCAGCCCATACTCAGGAAGACAGGTGGCTTCATGAGGACAAGGACTTTCCACGGCTGTATCCCCCATATCTAGTGTGGTGCCAGGTATACAGAAGCAGCTCAATAAACTGTCTCTGAATGAATGGCATATATGTATGCCCTCATTTGAAGTATCTGCACTCACCAAACCCATGATACCATCTACGACTACCTTCTTCAGAATGTGCCATTGCCTCTGACTGGAACCTCTTTCTTCTCTCTAATCACTTACCTGTAGCCTTCTCCTCATCTCTAAGTGCCATGACACAGATGGCACTTTCCTTGACGACGCACTTCCTTGGCTCTCCTGTCCTCCCCTCCCCTGAGGAGGCAGTTAAGCACTTAGCATCTGTGTGTCCCCTACGCTTTGAGTTAGCTCTGACACCCAACAGCGTTGGCTCTCTTGTTACCTAGAATGCTTTGGCATGGCAAAAGGATAGAAATGCAGATTCCTGGGCTCTGTCTCAGATCTACTGAATCAGCATTTCTGTGGGAGAAGCCAGGTATTTGCGTTTATGTAAGCGCCTTTAGTTATTATGATGTTCATTAACATTTGAAAATTACCACTGTAGGATATAGCTGGAGGAGTGGAGAAAGATCCATGAAGCATTTTTATCCTCTATAAATACTTAAGCCAAACCTGTCTGTTGGGTCCTTCAGCATCCTACCCAGATCAAGGGTGGCTCCAGGTCGTGGGGTCCATGTTATCACATCAGAATTTTTCTTGATAAGATTGTTGAGTTCAATTGGGTCATTTTTGATGTTTGTTTCCATAATGTACCTGAGCAATGAAAACATTCCAACGTAAGAAAGTTTATTCTCAGGTGCATAGTCTCATTAGTACGATGGCGGATTTTTTTTCTCTACATTACCACTTCCTAATCCCCTTCCACTTACTCCATGGAAAAAATAAAAACTATACTTGGATTAATGTCCCTAACTAGGGAAGAAGTGTTAGCCAAAGAGGGTTGTACTTGTACTTTGTTTTTAAGTATAATCACATGGTGATTGGAATTCAAGTTAGATATATCAAAACTGACTATTATAAATAGGTAGAGAATGCACACGTTTGTATTTAATATTAATTAATATATGGACTAATTATTATTTGGCAGGCATTATACTAAGTGCTTAATATGAACTCAGTGATTTTATCTCACAATGCCTCATGAGATAGCTACAATTCTTGTGCTCATTTTATAGAGAAGGAAACCAAGGCTTAGAGAGGCCAAAGGACTTGCCCAAGGCCACACCACTAGTGGGACCCCCAGCCCCAGCCCTGCACCTGCTCTCTAGTGCAGGCTGTGCAGTCAAAGCAGGCTTAGCCCTCACAGGAGGCCACAAGGAAGGGCCTCTCCCCAACCTTGGGACTAAAGTCTGAAATGTCCCTGTATTCAAAACCGTTAAAAATCTACCTATTATATACACAACCACAGTTGCAACCTATCCTGAGATCTAATTTCTAATTGTGCTATTGACCAGAGATGGCGTCTCCCAAACCACAGTCTTTCTCAGAAAGCTGTAACTCCTCAAGTTCTATATCATATGGGAAGGTGATTGGTGGTGTCAGAGCAGGAAAAGGGAGATCCACAGAAATGCATTTGTCATTGTGACTCACCTGGCATGGGTTATCTAGACAGACATTTCTGTTAAAGGGAATTTTACTTTCTTGAGCTACAACTTGGTTACCCAGACTTGATTGATACTTTAAGTATCTATCAAGGCAAAGTGTATTTAGGCATTTGTGTTTCTATATCACTAAGGTGACTTACATCAGTGACGATACCAGAATCGATTTGCAGATCTGAGTGAGGACTCTGTCACTATACCCAGTGATGTCAGCAGTTTTCCCTTCCTGCACATGTTTTAGTCCTTCATTTAAAGCAGTGCCACCACTTTGTCCCATCTTATTACTTTAGTCTCAAAATGGTTCACTAACTGGCCTCCCTGCTTCTGATTCCCCTCTCTCAAAAGCATGTTGCTGTCACTCTTCCTAAAACATAATGTGTCGTGGTTGCAAAGTTCCATAACTTCTTGATGCTTCTTTGTCTTTCTCTCTAAAATAAAAGTAAAATCAATATCTAAGGCCAACTGCAGTGGCTCATGTCTATAATCTCAGTAATTTGGGAGGCCAAGGTGGGAGGATCGCTTTAGGCCAGGAGTTCAAGATCAGCCTTGGCAACACAGAGAGAACCTGCCTCTTTAAAGGTTAGCTGGGTATGGTGGTGTGCATCTGTGGTCCAAGCTACTTAAGAGGCTGGGCAGGAGGATCACTTGAGCCCAGGAGTTCAAGGCTGCAATGAGCTGTGATCATGCTATTGCACTCCAGCATGGGCAACTGAGCAAGATCCTGTTTCTAAAATTAAATTACATGAAATTACATGAAATTAAATTTAAAAAATCAATGTCCAGATGCCATCATCAAAGGGGTACCGTGGGCCCTAAGGGCAATGTTTGCCATCTGCTTACACATAGAAGAGTGGCTTTTAATTACCATAAATGACAGCATCATATTAAGTGGCCAAGCACCTCCCACCTCCAATTCTTCTCCAAGTCCTTGCAATTTGACCTACTTAATGTTTCTGGAGTCTGAATTTGCTCCTCACTCCTCACTGCCACTCACCATTCCTTCCTAGGTTATTGTGATGGCTTCAAAACAGTTTCCAGAATCAACACTCCCTCTCCCTTTCCCACCACACAGACATACAAGCTGACTTCCCCAATGCACGTCTCATTACATCCCTGTTCCTCACTAGACTCTCCATGGGGCTCCCCATCCTTTCAGGAAAAAGTCCAAACCGCGTAGTGTGTCGCAAATACTGTCTGCCTCCCCCACCTCTCCTCACAGACCCCTCATCCCTCACAGTGACCTGCAATCTCTCATCGCAGCAGCTTTTTATCTCTGCCAGTCACTGTCTACTCATTCTTGAAAATGCTACTTTCATAGTCTCATCCAGTTGTCCTTCTCTCTCTCCCATCTGGATCTCCTTGCCTAAAACAACACTTATCATTCTGTATTATAATTGCTTTTCTCTTCCAATAGACCATACCCCTGTGGAAATTCATTTTGTCTCTAGTTCTCCAGTGCCTAGGACAGTGCTGATCAGTAAATGACAAATGAACAAACGATTACTGAACAGCATTGATGAAAATAAATTATTTTTTAACCTTAGGCCAATCTTTCTGAAAAAATTTGGAAGATATGAGACAGCTAAATAATGTCAACAAGAAGGTTAAAAAAAAAGGAAAAACATCAGCAATAAGCCACATTAAGTGATTACACATGAAGTTATATCTTGAGAGAACACAGAAAAACAGCAAAGCAATAAGTCACATTTTAATGCTGAAACTGATAAAGTCCAGAGAAGATAGATAAATGGTGGTAGGACCAGAACCTAAATTCCATGTACACTGCTCCTTCCACTGCACTGTACTACTGTCCCTAGTGGACAAGAAGTCATGGGCAGTCCTTACACAATTATTGTCATGAAAACTTATCTCAAGGACTGGTTTCTTTAACACCCAATAACTTCAGATAAGTACAGAGAAGTGTACTCCCACAGCAAAATGACACATGCATTTCCTGCCTGCCCTCTGTTCACAAAATATTATCAGTAACTATAAAAAAATATTATCAGTAACTGTAAAAAAACTATAAAAAGTCCCTGCCCTTTGTTCACAAAATATTATCAGTAACTGTATCGTAAATGCATTTTTGTGAAGCAGATGATACTTGCTCATAAAAACATTATAGCTAGGGGGCTGAGTCACTGCATGGGCTTAGGAGCAAATAAATTCTATATATAATCAATGGAATCTTATAAAAGCAAAGTTTAAACATCTATATATAAGACTTTGGTTAGCATTTCAAATGATAAAATTATGATCCAAATACTACAAAGGGGTGGATATAATATATATATTGTTTTTTCAAGAGATTATAAATTCTATAAAATATGCACGCAATAGAACTGGAGTGTGTCACAAATGTGACTTAAACAAACATGCTTGCTTTAACTACCATAGGTTAAGATGCGCTTTAAGAATAATCGTGTTTGCCTTTTCATTTTTCAAATTTACTGAGATTCAAATTTTTTACTTTCTAGAGGGTAGATTTCTATAATTTTAACATATGTATCTATTTAATGTAATCACTACCACAATCAAGACAAAAGACAGTTCATCACCCCCAAAACGTCCATGTGTTGCCCCTTTGTAGTCAAATCCTCCTTCAATTCCTAACTCCTGACAACCACTGATCTTTTCTCCATCCCTATGGTTTTGCCTTTTCCAGAATATCATATACATGGAATCACATAGTACATAACCTTTTGAGACTGGCTCTTACCACTCTACGCAGTGCCTTTGAGATTCATCATGTTGTTGCATGTAGCAATAGTTCTTTCATATGGTTGAGTAGTAGTCCATTGTACGAATATACCATAGTTTAACTATTTACCTATTGAAGACCATTTGGGTTGATTTGGTGATTATGGATAGAGTTATTAATGTTTGTGTATGGTTTTGTGTAAGTAAAAGTTATTATTTTGTTAGGGTAAATACCTAGGAGTGGTATTGCTGGATCATATGGTAAAGGTAGCTTTGAAGAAGCTGCCAAGCTCTTTTCCAGAGTGACTGTACCATTTTATATTCTTAACAGCAACCTGGAGGGCTCCTGTTGCTCTGCATCCTTGTCATAACTTAGTATTGCCAACATTCCAAAGTGCTCTTAATTCTTATAGTTATGCCATTGTGGTGTTAATTTGCATTTCCCTAATGGCTAATGCTGTTCAGCACCTTTTCTTATGTTTATTTGCTAATCACATATCTTCTTTGGTGAAGTGTCTGTTCAAATCTTTTGTCCATTTTTAAATTTTCTTATTGATTTTTAAAGTTATTATTTTAAATTGTGGTCTTACTGTTGATTTTTGAGAGTTCATTATATATTCCGTATACAAGTACTTTTCAGGTATGCTATTTGTAATATGTTCTCGGAGTCTGTAGTCTTTTCGTTATCTTAATAGCTTCTTTCATGGAAGCTATTAAGATAACTTTGCTCATGGAGCAAAAATTTTATTGGGTAAAGTATAATTTATTAATTTTTTTATAGATCATGCTTTTTGATGCAGCATCTAAGAAGTATTTGCCTAACCCATGGTCATAAACATTTTCTCCTATATTTTCCTTCTAAAAGTTTTTTAGTTTAACCCTTATATTTATATCTATGATCCATTTTTACTTACTTTTTTGTATATGGTGTGAGATGTAAATCAAGGTTCACTTTTTTGCATATAGATATCTAATTGTTCCAATAATGTTTGTTGAAAAGACTGCCGTTTCTCCATGAAATTGCCTTTTTACATTTGCATTTCCTAAAATTACATCTTTGTCAAAAATTAATTGACCACATTTGTATGAATCTATTTCTAGTCTCTCTATTCTGTTCCATTGTTGAATGTATCCATTCCTTTACCAATATCACACCATCTTGATTACTGCAGCTTTATAGTTAATCTTAAGATCAGACAGTACGTGTCCTGTCCTAAAATAGAAGAATTTTATTCTTCTATTACAGAATTGTTTTCATTAGTCTAATTCCTTTCCTTTCCCTATAATTTTAGAGATTGTCTACATCTACAAAATATCCTTCTTGGATTTTGATGGGCATTGTGCTGAATCTATACATTCATTTGGGGATAATTAAAACCTGAACTATACTGAACATCCAATTCATCAACAAGAAATAGTCCATTTATCTAATTAGAGTCTGATTTTTTCATC